AACTCTTTTTTTTTCCGGAAGTTAAAAATTTTAAAAGGAAAATCCGGATTTTTAAAGTACTATTTCCAGCCCTGGTTTGGACCGGTCCAGTCCCAATCGGCGCAGTAAAAAAGTGGCTTAGTTGTACATTGGACTGGACTTATTGGACTGGACTGTACTTATTGGACTGGGACTAGACTTTATTTGGACTTTGTCATACAAAGATACACAAATTTTATTACTGTAAAGAATGTAACAAGATTATACTTTTTCAAAGGATGATCCTTATTCTCATCATCCTATAGTTGGCTTGGTCTAAAGACCTCCTAAATTTTGGGCAAATTGTTTCTTTTTCAATGGTATGCTGCCTTGACATCTTGTAATTATAATAATATTAATATTAATATTGATTACGCAAAGCAAAATATCAATTGTTCGTTGTTGACAAGGATCTTATAATTACCCAGCAATGATCTGCTCCACGTTTTGATTCCAATTAAAATATTTATAAACTAAATATATATATCAATACAAGTAAAAAATAGTACCTCTGGTTAGTTATTAACACGCCTTCTTTAGGAGACTCATGTTTTGCCATCTTGTAATAAATTGTTTTTCCAAGAAAAAAATCAATCAACAAAAAAAAATCACGTCAACAAAAAAAAAATCTGTGCAACACCAAGTGCCAATAATAAATAATTAATGACGCGTTTGTCGATCAAATCAAACTTCTTTTTTATTTTAATAAAAAAAAATGTCATCAGGAAATGCTAAAAGAAGAATGGTGGTGGCGGTTGCCACTACTTATCGTCACTCTAGTTGTTAAAAAAGAATGATGGTGGTTATTACCACTTGTTGTCATTCTAGTTATTTAAAAAGAATGGTGGTGGTGCAATATTGAAACACGTTGTTGTTCTAGTTTCATTAATACATTAACCAATAAACTTGACAAAGAAAACAAGAATTGAGGAACCTCGGCTGGCCAAATGGACCAGCTTGGTCTATAACAGAGTCTTTTTTCCTCTGGAGTACCACCGAATTGTCAAACAAGATGAAGACAATAAAACAATTGCACTGGGTACATCAAAAAGTAATTATATAGACCCACGTATTTCTTCTATAGCATGGTCTAAAAAGTATGAAGTACCAATTGATAAGGTTTTTAACAAAAGCCTTCAGGAGAAATTCCAATGGGCATTAGATGTTGATGCAGATTGGGTGAATATTATTTTTTTTTTTTAATTAATTTTATTAAATAATAACATACTTAAATTTATTTTTATTATTTTATAGGAGTTTTAGTTGTCATGCAGTGATTTCTCATTTGGCTGTTTTTTTTGCTTTTGCTATTTAAAGATCATGAATTTTGTACATTGTGTTTGGTGGAAGGTTATATATATTTTTTGTGCTGATAGGAAATTTTTTTTATTTTCTTGGAATAATTTAGATTTGGTGGTAGTAAAGGTTTTTATTATATTAATTTTAGATTATAACCATGAAAACTACAAATTTATATATAATTTTATATTATAATAAACTTATCTTTTAAAGAAATTTCAGGTGACTAAATTATAGTGAATTAAAATTTATTGTGAACCAAAGAAAAAATCATATCTGAATTCAAGGGTTGAAGTTTTATTTATAATTTTGTTTTGCAAATAAGATTGTAATTGTTCAAAAATAAAACCGAATCAAACATCTTTATTTTTACTACAAAAATTACCATTTAATTATTTCAAATTTCTTTAATATTAAAAAAACAAAGGTCTTTGAGCTAAAAAGAAAGAGAACAAGACAAGAGTAAGTATTGTTTTTTTAAAAATGGTGGTTGTGCGCATTTTCGTCATTCTAGTTAATTGAAGTAAGTTTTAAAGATAAGATCTATGAACAAATATTCTAACAAATGTTTTATTAATTATTCAATAGTTTATATAAATTTATCTTTAATAACATCACTATAATCATTATTTATTGTTCCATGATAACACTATTATTATATACATAACAGTAATATATAAAAAAAAAATTATTTTTATTTTATTTATATTAAATATTTAATATAACATTGTTCTTTTCTTCTATGACATCCTTTAACAAACAAAAAAAAGAAAATAAACAAGTTACAGTTCACTCTCTCTATAACGAACACTAAGTAAAATCTCTATAATGAACATCCCTTTTGTCCCTGATTTATTTTTTTATAATTAATTTCTCTCTCTATAACAAACATCTTAGTATTTATAATGAAAA